CACAGATTTTTCTAAATATAGGTTACATTTATTATTTATCAATGTAGTTGGTGACTTAGTGTTTTATCATATTGGATGTATGTTTAATTTAGCTAACTTGTAGCCATTTGAACAAATATGGTCATCCTGAAACAGTCTGTGTGATTATGACACTAAAATTTGTAGTAAGTTGTAATAAAAAATGCAGTTTCTGGTGGGGGATGAATTGGGACACTCAGACATTCATTCAAACTTGCATAATTTCAAGTATACATAATGAGAACATGATTAATCTGCATTTTGAGAGAGATTTAAAGGTTTAATCTGTTTCTCCTGTCTTTCTGGAATAAAGTTCTTAGACAGATGATTATAAAACAGAATTAGATTAATATAAAATAGAAAAGGAACCCAAACCTACAACCTAAACCAGGATTAAGATGGGATGGAATGGATTTAATCAATCAAAATGTCTTTTTTTATGATTGGATATGTGACAGGTATTTCAATAAAACAATATAAATGGAGGATTCATTTTTTAAATAAACTAAATCTGCTTGTACATACATTGTATTTAATTATTAATTCCCTTGTTGATTATCAACAGAAACATTTTTACTGGCATTGTAGCAGTTTTAAAGTTCCTGACCTGCTTTCTGTCCTTCTCCACTGGTATCTTAACTATTTATCTTTAGTGATGAGCTTTATGAGTTTGGAAGCCTCAATGCCATCACCCTAATGTTTGCTACTAAAGCAGATTCTCTGCCAGACTCAAGATGACCCTGGCCAAAATGTTAATATACTTTCTAGTCAGGAGAAACATTTTCCAGACAAAATAAAGGATTTCTTCAAATCTAAATCTGTCAGAAATGTGTTCATTTTAGGCTTATCTGTATAATTTTACACAAAACAATACACTGAAACCTGTACACTTGACTTTTGTTTCAATAAATCTCCTTAAGTTGTTTGTTGTCCAATGATTCCACTTATGAAAAGGAGCAGATTAAATAAACCATTAAATCCATTAACGTGTTGATATGCGATCCGCCTTTTGATCAGAGTTGTACTTTAAAGAAATGTTGTTGCAGCAGACGCTAATGAAGCTTAAGTTTCTCCTTTTTTGTCATCACCTTAATCAAAACTCTGCTCTAATATTCTTTTTTTTCTGTACATTGAAACAAGAAGTTCCTCAACACTCAAAGACTCCATCAGGCTGTAAATATCAAAAGGTAATTACATGCACAGTGGCTTTGAAGCCCTGGAGGCGGATGTGTCACAGAGCAACCTTCCTGAAATTTATCGCTTTAAAAAGCACTTCAGTCTTCTCCTTCTATCGCGCCACCATCTGTGGCTCTTAAAATATGGATTTCCACTGTGTTGGCATTTAGCAGCAATAATGAACACTGAACTGTCTTTCAGGACGACAGAGATGTGAGCTTAGCTCTGAAATCTGCAGCTGGGCTTCTTTCCCTTTTGCAGCCTTGTTTTATTGCGCTGCTGAGGTCTATGATCCTTGCAGGATGCGTCTGCCGCTGCGACACAAAAAAGGAGGCAAAAAAAAAAGTCCCTGTGACAATATAAAGCTGGACCAAATTACACAAGGATACGACTAAACTATCTGGATTTAAATGCTGCTGCAGGTCGACAGAAGGGGAGAAACAAAACATGACAACTGATTTTAGCAAAACAATCACACAGCGAAAAAAAGCAGCAGAAAGGATTGTAGAGAGGGAGGGATGAAGATGAAGAGTAGTAAAGAAAAAAGAGGAACATGACAGCTCCTCTCTCTGATATACAGATGCAGCAGGGGAGCGGAGGGACAAACGGATGGCAAACCCTGAGAGAGGAACAGGGCAGGAGAAGATAAAACCCAGGGATATGTGTTGATGACCGAATGGGAGCAGGCAACAGGACCAGCAGGACAGAGAAAAATCAGCATCGAACAGAGAGAGGAGTTGGATGTGGGCAGGAGGGGGGGTAAGGGAGAGTTAAAGGCTCGTCTGAGTCAGAAGCAGCAGGAGGAGAGGAGAAACAACTGAAGCACAGCAGGAGGTAAAGAGACACAGAGGAAAAGATTCACAAATCCATCTGAAAACCAGCTTCTTGTGGGAAATGACATCAACCAGAAGATATGTCTCCCTTCATCTCTGTATGTGTTTCAGTTGATTTACGCAGGGGAGAATTATTTTTTAAATTATTTAAAGTTGACCTATTATGTTTCCTTGAACAGGTTAGGATAGCTCTGCTATACAAAACATGTTCACATTTTTTTTTTTACAAAACCATTCTTAGATAATAAATTTTAGATGAGGTTTTAGTCTGTTGAGTTTTGACTATTTTAAATGCTTTTTTATGGCCTCTTATCACTTTAAATCCAAATAAGCTGCTGCTGGCCACGCCTCAGACTCAGTGTTTGCACTCGCATGTGAAAATGGCTGCAAACAGATGCACAATTATACAACCGCACATCTTTGAAAAGCAGAAGTAGAGCCTCCTGCAAAACCAATAAGAATGCAGGAAGAGGTTTCTGGATGGTAAGTCAAGAACAAAACACTAGTCTTTTCCTGCACATTTATACAGCACATACAGCAGAAAAACCAGCTGACCAAACATGCTGTCAGCTCCACTAGCAACACTAGTAGAGTTTCTCTAGGTTGCTAGGTAACGGACTGGGCTTCACTAGGGTTGCTAGGTAACAGACTAGTAGGCTGATTTGTGCTGTTACAATCCACACGTTTTTGAAACGGCTCATTTTGTGGACACTAAAAACCTTTAACTTATTGTCAAACAATGGCTGGGTGGTTTGTTTTAAGCATTTGGCTGTTAGAAGCAGTAGAAACCCAATTGGAAAAACAAAAATGAGCAAAATGTGAATTCTGCATAATAGGTCCCCTTTAAAATATTTTCTGTCATCACTACTCTTTCCTTGCAGAAAGAAAGTCCTGCTTTCCTCCCTCAGTTGAAAACATGACTCTTGGGTTGACTGTTCTCTCTAGATTGTTATTAGTGATGAATGTGTCCTTGGTTGTCTCACGTCAATGACGTAAAAGTCAATTAAGATGAAACATGGTGGTTCAAACTTCTTTGAAAACAATCAGGTACGAATCCAAATTTGCTCCACATATGCAAGTGGTGCAAGCCTGGTTTTGTCACATTATAATCAGAAAGTAAAATATATTTTATTATATAACAATAGTGAACACAGCAAACAGGTAAGAGAAATGGAAAGAGTCTGGGAAAGCTGCAAACTGACCAAGGAAAAAAACATCAACCAGAAAAGAAGCCAAGACATGCAAAGCCAGGAATGGGAAACTGTGACAAAGATGAATTTGTAAATTAGATTAATAATCATATTCCTGTTTCTTTGTTTAGATTTTGTTGTTTGGTTTGACCTCTTTTTTCATGGTATGGTCTAATGAAATGTAGGTGTGTTGCCATTTTTGTGTAAAATCAGAAAGATTTTGGCTACTTGAGATGAATGTCAGAAAACAAACATGTTAAATACTAAATGACACTACCTCATTTTTTAAAATAGGGGTCTTCAACCTGCAGCTCTGGAGCTTCAAGTGGCCCTTTGGTTCTTCCACAATGGCTTAGATGATAAAAAAGCAACTGTTTCTAACTATGAATACAATGACAACAACATGCAGGTTTCACATTTGCTAAAAAACATATTTTTCTCATCATGAAGTTGGAACATATGTTTGTTTTTTTAACATAATTATCCACAAATATCAACATCCTATAGAGAACTATGTATCCATCTTCTTTTTGAAAAGGTTTTATGTTGGTTTCTATTTTTATTTTAAGACCTTGGAATAGAAGAAAACTGTTGGCTTTTTAAAAATAACACCAAATCTTTTGGATACTCATCAAAAATGAAAAGGTCATGTAACGCAAAGCTCTAAACAAAGTTTTTTTTTTCTGTTGCAGAAAGGGTAAAAATGGCTCTTTGAACTGTAAAGGTTGCAGACTCCTCTTCTAAAATGAAATACAGCAAAATCCTGAAAGCAAACCCAACAAAGGAGGCAAAACACTGGTTTGGAAATTGGACTTTCAGGACAATGCACTAAACATCCAGAGCTACTGAGGTTAAGATTAAAGTACATGTCTTAAAATGGCCCATTCAAAGTCTTAAATCCAGGCATAAATTCAACTAAAAAACTGCAAGTGGCAAGATTTGGAAATAAATCTTCAAAGTCAGATGAGCAAAGCTTGTGAAGGCTTGGAGATGCAAAGAATGGTGACTCTTAGAGCTGAATATATTCACAAAACACACTTTTTAGGTTTATTTTTGTAAACAGAGAAATAAATGTTCTCCTTTTCTCTGCATGTCACAATTACACCGCCCAAATGCTAAGAGAATACCTGGAGGATGTTCTTGTACTTTTCATGCACACCGAGAATTTCGCCCGGTTTCTTTTTTCTTTTTTTACTCTAAATTCATCCCGCAATATGCGTTCTGTGAGCTCTGCTCTTTTAAATCAGAGAAACTTGACACCAGCAGGAATGCCTCTACATTTTCACGGTGTGCTGAACACAGAGAAAGTTAACAGCATCAGACGATCTTCCCTTAAACATTTCCCACAGCGGGGCAGGACGCTTAAAACGCTAGAAACGCTGCGCTCTGCAGCAACACATCGCCCAAACTGTACTGTTGGCATGCATGAGAATAAACCAACCACCATAATCTGCAAGTGAGACTTAAACATATCTAGAAACCTTTTCTACCAGAACAACACTTCTAGCTCAATATCTTTTGTTCTTTACGCAAAGAGCGTCAAAAAGTGCAACAAACTGCGCTTCTCTTAACGACTAATTAACAGGCGCGCAAAATGTTGCTGCTCATTTCAGAATTAAGCTCAAGTGCATGCATTTCAAACAACTATTTGTAGGCTGTTTGCACTTTAAAACACTCATAATTCAAATCTTGGAGGAACTAACAACCTCCACTCAACGCCTGGATGCGCAATCTCATCCGGGGAGAGAAAAGTAGTAAAAAGAAAAGCGCACATCTGCCTCACCTGCTGTGGTTGTCCCGAACAAGCCAAGATGGAGAAGAAGCCAGGCAACCCGAGGAATAATCCCACAGACTCTTTTAGACTCCATATCCTTGGTAGGAGGGGGGGGGGAACCCGGAGGCTGCAGGGAGTCAGAGCCTGCTTTCTGCTTCTGGAGGAGAGAAACACGCACGACCTCTGTTCTCCAGCTCCGAAAAGGATCTGGTCCAACCCGACGGAGGGAGGAGAGGAAATACTGATGGAGAGGCAGCGAGCAGAAGGTGGAGGGCTCGGCTTTGCGAGTTGTACCGGAATGTGCTCAGAAATGGAAGGAGTTTTTGGCGAATAGATAAAAGGCTGTGGAGATTTTGCAAGAAAAATAACAAATAATTGTTTATTTCTATAAGTGAAACGGTCACTCATCGGTCATTGATAGAAAAATGAGGAATACATTTCCGCCAAAAAAAACTTGAAACCTGGACATTTCTGAGCCCCAAAAGTCGAAAATTTGCTTGGAAAACCTCTGAAATTTTGAGATTAATCTCAGAAATCTTCTGCAAAAAACATAGAAATTCCCGAGTTTCAAATGTTGAAAATATTCGTGTTTTTAAATTGGGCCGCATGGTTTGGATTTGGATTCTTTGAACACGGTGGGCTGGGGGGGAAAATCACATTCGGAGAGTTTTTTTAAAAAGTGTTCATAGGGAATTCAACCGGAATAGTTGTCATTGTGTGGCATAAAAGCAAAAATCATGTAGCCTTTATAAACTGCACTCTTTGCATTGGTTCATTTATTTTGAAATGTCTGGGATCTGTTGAATGTGACATCACTGATGATTAATAGTTATTGGTAATAACAGTAGTAGTAAAACAGAAATCTAAGTGCAGCTTTGATTTAAAAGGACGAAGGCACCACAAAAATGTTTCATTCTGTTTCCAGAACAAAGTATATCAGATTTGGGTTTTTTAGTGTTGAGAGGGTTTTACATTGTGTTTGGGCTGGAAACTGTCAGAACTGGATCCCTGCTCATAGTCTTTATTTACAGCTTTCCTTCATCTCCGACTCTCTTGTCTCTTACCCCAGGCATACTTCTTCAGTCTTATTAGCTTATTCTTGGTCCCATTTCTAGTTGTCATCACTTACTGGTTTCCGCCCAAACGCCCCTGGTTTCTGTTACCCTCCCAGCTGTCATGGCGGCTTTTTTCTTGATCTTCTGCGATGGCGCCTTCATTTTTCAATCATAAGTTCTTTAATTTCAGTTTGGTTATTTCTACCTTCAAACAGAGCTGTTACTGATTAAACTTAAATTATAACACATATAAAATAAACCTAATCATTCTTTCAGTTAATAGTATGAATTTCTGTTCCTCTTTTTCCTTAAGTCAAGATTTCGGATGTTTCATTATCTAAAAGCAAAATTGTTTTTGATTAATTAAACAAGTTTTATTTATTTATTTTTTCTTTTACCAGTCCACTTTTTCCTTTTCTGTGTTGCAAGGAGGTGGCCACACATCACTTGTCATATTCTTACTAGAAAACTTTCCTTTTTAGATATTATTAAAAAATTAAAAAATAGATAAAGCTTTGCAACGACTGGTAGCTGCATTTCCAGAAAACATGAAGTCGTCCTTGTCTGTTCTGGCTCTTTTTGTATCAAAAAACACATTTTCAAACTACTTTGCTTTAAAAAAAAAAAAAGCAAAGATGGATTGGGATTTGACATCTGATGACTTTTAAAGATTTTAACTGAGATATGAAAGATGATAAAGACTTTTGATGAAGAGATTATTCTTTTCCTTAAAAAGAAGTGTGTTTATACCAAATAAGGTATCAGGAGTAGCGTTACCAATTTGCTTCATTTATTATTCTGTGTATAAGTTGCTTGTTTCTCCACATTAATGAGACACTATGTGGACTCACCAGCTTGAGTGTCTCCCACTTCCTTTTTGTGTTTCCCAATTTTCAGTCTTTTGTTTCATCACAGTTTATGCAGTTGTGTACCTTAAAACATTTCCTCAGTCTTACATGCACGGCAGAAAAAAGTCCAACAGATGTTGTACAAATTATGGTAGGAAATGAGATGGAAAAGAGCAAAGACAGTCTCCTACTGAGATGAAGAAAAACATAAATTAGCCTTTCTTTGACGATGTAAATACACTGAAAAGCATTAGTTAATTGACCACTGTTACAAAACACCACTCACTGGAAAATCAGCCACAAACCACAGGTTCAGTGTTTGAAATAAAAACAGTCTGAACATAGAATTTACTCTGCAGGTTCAAGTTGGACATGCAGATTCTTTCAATCACTGCAGATTTTCCATCAAGCAAGAAACGCAACACGCTAGAAGGATTTAAACCCTAATTTCAACTGGGGGAAAAAAGGAGACGCACAGGTGAGCTGCCATGCCTCTCATCGGCTGAGGATTTATGTCTGTTTATAAAATACATGGATTTAGTTTGTGGCAGATATGAGTGGCAGTATTCCATTAAAAATCAGGCGGCTGCAGTGTTTTAAAGCAGATAGATTGCAGAGGAAATGTATGACTGTATTGCCCCGGGGTAAATGTGACACGTTCGGCGTGTTCTGTAGAATGGCAGGCGATAAACAAATAAATAGCAGGGAGATTGTATTCAGGCTTTGCAGGATATAAAGAAACCCAGAACAGACTTGAGAGATTTTAATACTTGACACTCAAGAGAGTCAGGATGTCATATTTAATAGAAGGAAATCCAGGAAAAACAAACCTTCACCCCCAATTGGCAACCAACTGAACAGCGACAGAATATTATGTAGAGTGATGTGCAAAAACAAAACATTGCGTAAATTCAAGAGCAGCAACACAAAACAATACACTACAGTTTTACTTACAAAACACTTTAAAACACTGCAGAAACAGAAAATCTTACCAAGTATTTTTGGTCTGGTGTCTAGTGCAAATATCTTAAATAAACTTTAACTAAGACAAAACTAACCTAAAAGTAACTTTTTTGCAAGATATGGAGGAAAAAGTTCTGGTTCCATTGCCAGATGATTTCACTTATAACAAGACATTTTTCCCAGGTTATGAGTTAATTTATCTGCCAATGGAGGAAGTACGTTTTCGTTTCTGACCAGAATCAGTCACTAAAAGAATATCAGGCGCCATTTATGACAGATTTTAATGCATGTTTTCACAAAATATTTGATCCTGTAGAATAAAAATGATCAACATTGTTCTGACAGGGATGTCCACAAGAGATCTGTGAATAGGAAAAAATTTGAGATGGTTAGAAAGGTTTAAAAATTTCAGGGGGAAGAGCGGCTGGTATGAGAATAGGTTACAAGACTGTAATTATGAAGCCTGATGAGATGATTATTCAGAAATGGAAGAAATATGAAATGACTATTAATTGTCCTCAGTCTGGAGCTCCATTAGGAGTGAGGGATGGTTATAAAGAGGAATCAGTCCACAACTGGAAGTTAGCAGCTTATTAATGATCTGAAGACAGCTGGGACCAGAAGCATCAATAGTAAGGCGACACCTTGCAGCCGATTGCTGTACAAGGTGCTAAAGTACGACAACTTTTAGGTGTAATTCTGAACAACAAACTCATTTGGAAGCCTAACTCTGAATATTTTAGAGATAAACTTACAAAAACTATTGGAATATTGTTTAAAATAAAAGATTTAATAAATGTAAATACTTGTATGTCAAATGTCATATTTGTCATATTGCTTAGAAATATGGGGACATGCAAATAGAACAACTATTGACATATTAGTTAAGTTACAAAGACAGCTATTAGGATTCTAGATAAAGTGAGATATTGTGAACCAACTAATAAGTAATACTTTAAAATTTAAAAATAATGCAAATAATATATAAGGCATTTTTCTGGAATTCAAAAATGATTTATGTTGAGAGTATGTATGTATGTATGTATGTATGTATGTATGTATGTATGTATGTATGTATGTATACAGCATTTATTTCAGTAGACTGCTGAATCTATGAACAGTTCAATCTGGAAAGACTCAGACGGACAAAAGGGGAACAATTAAAAGATTTAATGACAGCAATGAATAACAGTTCTTTGGCGCTCGGGCCCCGGCAGCTGATCTGAGCTGAGATTTGATGTGAACTCGATGAAAATCCCGATAACCGATTAGGGATGCTCTCCCCCGGGGCCCGACCCTGGTGGTGGAGGTCGGGAAAGGGTGCCATCCTGGAGAGCCGAAGGATGTGGGTGGAGAAGGGGAGGTGGTGGGTTGAACGCAGCTGGGAAGCGTCTGACGGTTTGGGTGTGGATCCTTTATGTAGAGCCTGATTGCTGATTGAACGCGCCGGGTGAGGTCCAGTGCTGAGGTCGGAGATGAGCATGACGTCGATGGGCGAATGGAGGGGGCGGAGTCTTCCAGTCTGAACTTCCGTTTTAGCTCCATTATAAGGCTTGGCTTATACTGTTAGAAAATGTTGGTTTGCTAAACATTGTTTTATTTTGTTTCCCTTCTTATAATGTTGTAAATTTTCCAAAATAAAGCCAATATTAATCTAAATCTGATGTACAGGTTCAACTTGTGAACATTATGCAGAAAAAGCTTCTAAGAACTCTGTAGCCGTTAAAACTAAGATTTGGAGCAGGAGAAACGCAGAATGTGACTTAAAATGCAATTATTGTTATATTACAACACTTTTACTGGCACAAAAGCATAAAAAGAAAACTGTTTCTGTGAATATGAAATAATAATTGTATTGTCAGATTTTTGTGTGAGACTGATCGATACAGAAATGATCTTTTTAATTTAATCCTTGTGTCTAGTATTTGTGGCCCACAATTTATTTGTTCATAACTAAAAATTGGATTTTAATTATGGTTTGGTCGATATATGTAAAAAACCGACCAAACCATCAGAAAACATCAGAAAACTGTTTTCTGCATCATTTCTAAGATGCAGGCAAGCATTTTCTACTTCTTAAAAATACAGAAAACATTTTTAAGATGTACTTGCTGAGCACACAATAAAAAAATCAGCAAAAAGATTCAAGGCTGAGATCAGCTATTTTGCAGACTTTGCAGAATCGGTTTTTGAATTAATTTTTCCTTAAAATGTGGCTATTATTTATTTTAAAAAGGCTGCAGGGCTTAGAAAACTAACAGAAAAATCCACAAAAGCCATATTGTTTCACTTCAGGAAGCATGTTTTGGAACAGAATGAAAATGCACTCTGGTGCTTTTTGTGATAAAACTAATTGACACTTGGAAAAAGAAAACACCACTCTACTTTAC